CTGGCTGTGCTCAGCATTAGCCTTGGCATCATCTGGCATCTTGTTAAGACTCATAGATTTCAAGATTCTTCCAGATCTACTGAACTATAATCTACACTTCAGTAATTTCTGCGGGTGATTCACATACACATCATAGTTTGAGAAGCACTATTTTAAAGCACCAGGTTATAATGACTCTTTTCTTTATTCTCTTTCTGCCTCATCTGTATCTCCTTTCTTTATCTGTTGTGAATTTACCTCTCCAAACTTTAGGGGAATATCACAGCCCAGTTTATAAATATTCTTTTGGTGATTCTTTAGATTTTATCTCTTCTTTCTTTAGCTTTCTGTATTTTAAGTGAACTTTCAGGGACACTCTCTTCTTTAACATTCAATAATGTATTGTTTTAGTTGTATTTCTATGGTCATCTTCCAGTTTTTATGGACTTCTTCAAAAAAGGAATGATACTAAAAACACATTGCATTATAGATAGTAATATGATTTGTCTTTGTACAGGGAGGGTATGGTGACTCTTAAACTATTTCATGAAGCCCAATGTTTCGTTGACTCTTATTTTTTCTTGATTTCGGAATGCGCACGGACCAGTGTGCTTCAGAATCAATGACTACCACAACCTTGGCTAAAATGGATGTTCACTGGTCATATCTGAAATGAGAAAGAGTGAAGGAAAATTCATTCTTGAAGAAGAGAATGAATGAATGAAGACAAATTCTGATTCTCTTTTGTGAACCTTAATTAGTCATTCACAACTATTCATTGTAAATGTGTTTTGTGGTTTTGTGTATACCCTAATTAGTCATTCACAACCATTCATTGTAAATGTTTGTTATGGTTTGAATGTGTCCTACCCAAATTTAGGTTGGAACTAGACCATATTGTGAAGATATTAAGAGGAAGCTTAATCTAATTATGGTATTGAAAGGTTGGGCCTTTGAGAAGTGACCATGTGACTACAGGAGGCTCCCCGTGATTGGCTTCTGGTGAGTTTATAGAGAGGGAATGAGACCAGATCAGAGGAGTGCGGACACAGATGCACACTCCTCTGTTCTCTGCCATGCTGTGATGCAAGCAGAAGACTTTCACCACATGTGGTCCCTGGACTTGGACCACCAAACAATGAGCTGAATAAACCTCTATTCTCTTAAATCTCCCAGACTTAGGTATTTTCATTATTAGCAACAGAATGTATTCGAACAATTTCTAACTGAATCCATGGGTTCCTGCACTACCGGTCCTATTATTTCCTATATCAGTCATAGAACACCATCCATCTAGTGATGCAAACCGGAAATCTAGAAGCTGTCCTTGATATCCCTCTATTTGTTCATTCTGTCCTGTTTATAATTTCATCTTCTAAATTTCTCCCTGATCAGTTCACTCCATGGTGGTTGCTATAGTTCAAGTCTTCAGCATCTCTTACTCACACTAGTTGCAATGACTTCCTAGTTAGTCCACCTATATCTCCTTTTGCTCTTCTTTTTACCCAAATTCTAATTTTAAACACAAATCTGATTATGTTACCTTTCCCTCTGGTTTAAGGTACTTGTGGTTTCCCTTTGATCTTAAGATAAAAACAGTTTCTTTAACTGATCTCAGAACCTGTTTCACCCCTGCTTAGATTTCCATCCCATCTTGCACCAATGACTCCATTCTCTCTTTATATGGACCCTCCCACCCCTCTCACCCCAACACACAGAACTCTCAGGCCTTTCTGCCTTTTGTTCTGCAGGCCATGCTTTTCCCTTGCACACGCATTTGCTGGCATTGTCTCCCCTCCCAGCTTTAGAAGTCAGCTTCACTTAAGGATTCTCTTCCCTGACAATTCTGATATTTCAGATCCCCCTTTTGTATACTCTCATCCATTTATTCATTCATTCAAATAATTCAACAAACATCCATTGAGATACTCTTTGCCAGGCTCTGTGCCAAGTGCTGAGAATACAACAATGAATAGAGTGTGTGAGGTTCCTGATCTCATTGTCTAAAGTAGAAGACAGAACACAAGTCTCTCTCTTTTCACAACATCTATAGTAGGCACAGTTTAACACTTTTTTCTTACATTTTAAAAAGGATTTTTTAAATGTTTATTTTTTTTTCCATGAGTGAGAGAAAAAGAGAGAGATAGCACCCCCATTAGGGTTTACCCTCAGTGTTAGCCAGTTTCAAGTCATGGGCAAGCACAGGCCTGGCACATTCAGTGTGGTCTCCAGGCTTGAACTGGGAACCTTTCCATTTGAGGTTACCTTGCTGTGCCACCATCTAGCCCCTGAGACTTACTTTATTTTCTTTTTTTGGGAGAGGTTTTTGCTATAGAGCATGTGCACTTGCCAGAAAGACAGAGAGAGACAGAGAGACGGAAAGTGCAAAATCACCCCCCAGGGGGGATGCCACACCACAATCCTTTCTCCTTCATTCTCCTCTCGGGATCTTGGGAACACACGCACACATGCCTGGCTGAGTTTAAGCCACCGGGTCTGGGACTCGAACGGCGGTCAACTACATGGGAGTTAAGCAACATAGCCATTACGCTAACTGCTGGTCCCCTGACACTTATTTTTATGATTATTATACTTATATCTGTTTCCCATATAGACTATAAACTGTCCTACTGTTTCATTTCTAGAACCTAGCACCATAACTGGAATATAGTAGATAGTAAATTTTTATTGGATGAACAAGATTTTAGATATTTAGAATTAAATGTCTCTTTTCATATTTATCTGTGACATATAGACTCATTAGAATCTTCAATGTTTATTTACTTCTTAGTCTTGTCATTTCACAAATCATTGCTTAATTTGAGGTTTTTGTTGATTTATTCCAAAATATTCATTTATTGCTTATAAATTGATGCCAGTTTAGTCTTCTATACAATTTCTCCAGATAGTAAATGACACCTTTTTGAAGAGTCATGAAATATCTTGAAACACCTTTTTCTACAGAGGTTGCCCCATTTATTCATCACCTTGAGTTTTCTATTTTTCTTTTTTTTTTATTGACAGAGGGCATGCATGCTCACCAGAGAGAGAGTGAGAGAGAGTGAGAGTGAGAGTGAGAGAGAGAGAGAGAGAGAAAGAGAGAAAGCACTCCCTATTGGGGTGTGGTTACTCTGCAATCCTTTTTCTTCCATTTCTCTATCCCGTCAAGATTTGAGGCACACATGCCTGACATATTTCTCAAGCTGCTGGGACTTGGATCTTAACCACCAGTGGTCATGTGGGATCTAGCTCCCTTAACCTGTGATTTTTTATTTTTAAACCTTGTTAAGACATTCTTATTCACATAAGTAGTGCTCTTAGTCCCTTGGTGACTAAGGTTCTAAAATAGATTTTATAATAGCTTTGAAATAAAAATATATTATGCATGCATGTCACTCCTTTCCCCCATTTTCTTTAAAAAATAGAATTCTGAATTTGTGTTCTATGGTCAAATACTACTGGGAAACTATAATGTAAACATGGCATAACAAATTTTATTGCTGTATTTTTTTAAGAATTATTTGATTTTGTTCATCATTATTATTATTTTTTAAATTTGACCATCACAAAGTGACAGAGAGAGAGAGAAAGCTAGAAAGCAAGCCACCAGGTCCAGGACTTGAACTGTGGTTGGCCATCTGAGAGTCCAGCACCTAAACCACCGTGCCACCAGCTAGCCTTCAATGCTGTATTTTTAAAGCTCTGTTAGCTGCTACTTCACACAGCTACTCTGAAAGGATGGAACAATATTGCATATTTGGAATATCTGATTTTTTAAACGCATTTGATAGTAGGACTATTCTCCAAGATTGTTTGTCTGAATACTTTGTAAAGTGTTATTTTTAAATTGTCCCAATTCCAGATGTGAGATAAAATGTCCATTTGTCACTATTTTGGTTATCATAAAGAAATAATGAATCATTTTCATGCTTGCTTTGTGATTTATTCCAAAATATTCATTTATTGCTTATAAATTGATGCCAGTTTAGTCTTCTATACAATTTCTCCAGATAGTAAATGACACCTTTTTGAAGAGTCATGAAATATCTTGAAACACCTTTTTCTACAGAGGTTGCCCCATTTATTCATCACCTTGAGTTTTCTATTTTTCTTTTTTTTTTATTGACAGAGGGCATGCATGCTCACCAGAGAGAGAGTGAGAGAGAGTGAGAGTGAGAGTGAGAAAGAGATAGAGAGAGAGAGAGAGAGAGAGAGAAAGCACTCCCTATTGGGGTGTGGTTACTCTGCAATCCTTTTTCTTCCATTTCTCTATCCCGTCAAGATTTGAGGCACACATGCCTGACATATTTCTCAAGCTGCTGGGACTTGGATCTTAACCACCAGTGGTCATGTGGGATCTAGCTCCCTTAACCTGTGATTTTTTATTTTTAAACCTTGTTAAGACATTCTTATTCACATAAGTAGTGCTCTTAGTCCCTTGGTGACTAAGGTTCTAAAATAGATTTTATAATAGCTTTGAAATAAAAATATATTATGCATGCATGTCACTCCTTTCCCCCATTTTCTTTAAAAAATAGAATTCTGAATTTGTGTTCTATGGTCAAATACTACTGGGAAACTATAATGTAAACATGGCATAACAAATTTTATTGCTGTATTTTTTTAAGAATTATTTGATTTTGTTCATCATTATTATTATTTTTTAAATTTGACCATCACAAAGTGACAGAGAGAGAGAGAAAGCTAGAAAGCAAGCCACCAGGTCCAGGACTTGAACTGTGGTTGGCCATCTGAGAGTCCAGCACCTAAACCACCGTGCCACCAGCTAGCCTTCAATGCTGTATTTTTAAAGCTCTGTTAGCTGCTACTTCACACAGCTACTCTGAAAGGATGGAACAATATTGCATATTTGGAATATCTGATTTTTTAAACGCATTTGATAGTAGGACTATTCTCCAAGATTGTTTGTCTGAATACTTTGTAAAGTGTTATTTTTAAATTGTCCCAATTCCAGATGTGAGATAAAATGTCCATTTGTCACTATTTTGGTTATCATAAAGAAATAATGAATCATTTTCATGCTTGCTTTGGAACGATACAGAGAAGATTAGCATGGCCTCTACGCAAGGATGACATGCAAATTGGTGAAGCATTCCATATTTTTTTGAAGTTACCCACAACTTCTCTGACCTGGGAGACAGAACTCTCTAGTAGGAACACACTTGGGAACTAAGAGTAAAATTTTCTCTACCAGTACTACGGAATCTACTCCAATAAATAGAAAAAAGTGAATACTTCATCAGATGACTAGAAACCAGCACGGATCTCAAAGAAGCATGAGAAAACAAGGGGGTAACTCTTCCCCAGGTAAACATAATAGCCTCTCACCAACAGTGGCTAGCACACAGAAATACATAGAAATGTCAGAAAAAGAATTCTGAATTTTAATAATGACAAAACTCAATGACATGCAAGAAAAAACAATCAGTTCCAAGAAATGAGAAAATCATTTCAGGAGATGAAAGAGGATTTCCATAAAGAAATAGATATCCTAAAAAATAATCCAACAGAACTTGTGGAAATGAAGAACAAAATAAAATTAAAATCTCCCTCGAAAGCATTAACAGCTGATTGAACCACGCAGATGAAAGAATTTCTGACCTGGAAGACAAAGTCTCCAACCAACCACCAAAAAAAAAAAAGAAAAAAAAAAAAGAGAAAAAGAAAAAAAACAAAAACAAAAACGAAACAACAAGCAAACAAAAAAAGAGGACAATATATAAGAAATTCTAGATATCATGAAATGTCCAAATACCTGTATAATGGATATTCCAGAAGGTGAAATCTGCTAAAGGCAATGGAAAAATTCTTTCCATGAAGTACTATCTGAAAAGTTTCTAAATATAGAGAAACATGGAGAAATTCAGATCCAAGAAATAAAAAGGATCCCACATAGAATCAACATAAGAAGATTCTCCACCCAGCACATCATAGCAAGATTAGTAAAAATTAAAGACAAGCACAATGTTCTAAAAATGGCAAGTGAGAAACATCAAGTTACTTACAAAGGTTATCCCAATAGGCTAGTGTCAAACTTCTCAGCTGAAAAAATGCAAGCAAGAAAAGAATGGGAATATGTATTCAAAACATTAAAAGAAAAACAATTTCAACCCATAATACTATATACAGCAGGATTATCCTTCAAATGGGAACAACAAATAAAAATATTCTTAGATAAACAAAAACTGTAAGAATTCACCAATAATAGACCAGATCTACAGGAAGTACTGAGGGGAGTGTTGTATTGGGATAACTAGAGAGACAAACAGAAACAGGAGAACAAAAAACAACTGAGAAAATGACTAACAAAATGATAGGAATAAATCCACAAATATCAATAATAATGTTGAATGCTAATGAATTAACTTCTCCTATCAAAAGACACAGACTGGTGGAACAATGTAAAACAGAAGTCATCTATATGCTGCTTACAAGAAACACACCTCACTATAAAGAACATACATAGACTGTAAGTAAAGAACTGGAAAAAGATATTCCATGCAAATGGAAGCCAAAAAAAAAGAAAAGGCTGGAGTAATGATACTGGTATCAGACAAAATAGACTTTAAGATGAAAGATGTAAGAAGAGACAAAGCAGTACATTATATAGTCCTAAAAGGACTTGTTCACCAAGAAGATGTAACACTTGTAAACATCTCAGCACCCAACACTGGAGCACCTAAATATAACAGAGAGACTCTTAGATCTCAAGGGAGAGATAGACTGCAATGCAATTGTAAGGGATCTCAACACCCCACTGATTCCTTCTGGACATATCATCTAGACAAAAAAGTAAACAAAGAAATACAAGATCTAAACAATACCATACATGAAATGGATTTGACAGACATCTAGAGAGCATTTTACCAACTACCACAAAATAAACCTTTTTCTCACCCCTACCTGACTGACCACATGATAGGACACAAAACACACCCTTCTAAATTCAAAAGCATAAAAATTGTATCTAGCATCTTTTCTGACCAGGATGGAATCAAACTTGAAATTAATTACAGAAACAGTCCTTGAAAATTCACAAACATTTGGAAACTAAGTAACCTACTCCAGAATGACTTTATAACTACAGAAGAAATTAAGACTGAAATAAAAAGGGCTCATAAAAAAACAATGTAATAAACAAACAAATGTTCATAACCAATGGGACACAGCAAAAGCAGTCATAAGAGGGTAGTTCATAGAAATTAGTGCCTGCAAGAAAAAAGCAGAAAGGTGGCAAATAAACAACCTAAGGAGACACTTAGGGAACTGGAAAGACAACAACAAAAATTCCAAAAATATTCCAGGAGAAAAGAAAGAATACGGATTTAAGCAGAAATAAATGAAATAGAGAATTAAAAAAAAACAAAAAACAAAAAACAAAACTATACAGAAAGTAAAAGAAAACAAAGCTTTTTTTTTATTTACTTTTTTTTTTTTTTGGAGAGGTTTTTTTTGCTATGGGGCGGGTGCTCTTGCCCATCAGACAGAGAGAGACAGAAAGCGAGAAATCACCCCCCAGGGGAGATGGTCACGCTGCAATCCCTTCTCCTCTGTTCTCCTCTCAGGATCTTGGGCACACACGCACATGCGCCTGGTGTGAGTTTTAAGCCACCCGGTCCGGGACGTGAACTGTGGTCGACTACATGGGAGTCCAGTGACATAGCCATTATGCTAACTGCTGGTCCCCAAAGCTGGTTTTTTGAGAAGATAAACAAAATTGACACACCATTAGCTAGATTAATCAAGAGAAACAGAAAGGAACTAAATCATCGAGACAGGTGTTATTACAACAGATATAACAAAAATAGAAAGTATCATCAGAGAATACTATGAGCAACTATATGCCAACAAACAAAAAAGCCTAGATGGGATGGACAAACTTCTAGACATGTATAATTTACCAAGATTGAACTAGGAAGAAATAGAAGGTCTGAATAGACTCATAAAAATCAACTAGATTGACTCAGTAATAAATAGTCTCCCAACAAGGAAGAGCCCAAGTCCAGATAGCTTTACTTCTGAATTCTACAAAATTCTCAGCAAGATACTAGCAAATCATGTTCAACAGCATGTAAAAAAGATAATACATCATAACAAAGTAAACTTTATTCCAGGGATGTAAGGATGGCTCAACATACGCAAAACAATATATGTAATATGACACATCAACAAAAGGAAAGATAAAAATCATATGATCATATCAATCAGTGCAGGAAAAGCATTCCATAAAATAATAAAATCCCTTCATGATTAAGACTCTCAGCAAAATAGACATAGAAGGAATATTTCTCAACACAATAAAAATCATCTATGAAAAAACCATCAATAACATCATACTGAATGGGGAAAAACTAAGTGGTTTTCCACTGAAAACAGGAACAAGACAAGGCTGCCCAGTTTGTTCACTCCTTTTTAACAAAGTACTGAAAAGTTTTAACCAACACAATTCGACAAGAGAGTCAAATAAAAGGCATCCAAATAGAAAAAGAATAAGTGAAATGATCTCTATTTGCAGATGACATGATGCTATACATAGAAAATCCGAAAGATTTCACCCCTCCCCCAAAAAAATCCTGGAAGTGATAAATGAATATAGTAAAGCGGCAGGATACAAAATCAACATACAAAAATCTATAGGATTTTTATACACCCAAAATGCACAAACTTAGACAGAATTGAAGAATGAAATCCCATTTATGATGACCAAAAAACCAATAAGATATCTAGGGATAAACCTTACCAAAAATGTCAAAGATCTCTACAGGAAAACAATGAAACACTAGAAAACGAAATGAAAAATGATACAAAAATAAGTGAAAAAACATCCCATGTTGCTGGATTAGAAGAATTAATATAATCAAGATGTCAATTCTACCCAAATCAATCTACAAATTTAATGCAATCCCAATCAAAATACCAGAAATATTCCTCACAGAAACGGAAAAAATAAATCACAAAATTTGTTTGGAAGCATAAAAGGCCCCGTACTACCAAAGCAATACTGTATAAATTAGGACGCGTCTTACTTCTTTGTGATAATTAAAACAGTATGGTATTGGCACAAAAACAGGTAGACCAATGAAACAGAATTGAGAACCCCCAAATAAACCCCAAATCATACAGCCTACTGATCCTTGATAAAAGGCACAAGACTATCCAGTGGGAGAAAAACATCTCTTCAGCAAATAGTACTGGGAGAACTGGATATCCACCTGCAGAAGAATGAGACTGTATCCTTATATCTCACCCCTAACAAAAATTAACTCAAAATGAATTGAGAATTTAAATGTAAAACCTCGAACTGTAGAAATACTAGTGGAAAACACAGGAAAAACTCTAGAAGACCTTGGAGTAGGCAAAGACTTATTAAAGAAGACCTCCAAAGCACAGGTAATAGTCCCCAAAATAGACAAATGGGACTATACGAGGCTGAAAAGCTTCTGCACAGCAAAAAAAAAAAAAAAAAACCCAAAAAACAAAAGAACCAAAACAAAACAAAAACAACAATAAAAAACCCCCAAAATAAATAAAAAAAATGAACAAACAAAAACAATAAGTAGAGTGAGAAGACAACCCTCAGAGTGGGAGAATATATTTGCAAACTATACCTCAGAAAAGGGACTGATAAGAATATACAGGGAACTCAAGCAGCTTACACACACACACACACACACATACACACACACACAAATCTATCCCATTAAATGATGGGAAAATGAACTGAAGAGACAATTCTCCAAAGAAAACATACAAACGGCCCAAAAGCATATAAAAATATGTTCAGCATCTCTTATCATAAGGGAAATGCAAATCGAAATCACAATGAGATACCACTTAACCCCAGTCAAAATGACTAAACTCTAAAAAACAAATAAGTGCTGGTGAGGGCTGTGGTGAAAAGGGAACTCTCCTACACTGTTGGTAGGGATGCAAATTAGTACAACCACTTTGGAGAACAAGCTGGAGATTCCTCAGAAACCTGCAAATAGAACTACCATATGACCCAGTAATTCCACTATTAGATATTCACCCGAAGGATAGAAAAAACCCCAGACAGGAAAACATTTGCACATCCATGTTTATTGCAGCATTATTTTTAATCAC